AGGGAGGGGGGGGATGTTATTCAACCCCCACTGAAATTGAGTGTTTTGGCCAGTTTGACATCATGCTTTTTTGATCATTCAGTCATCTTGCTTACATTTACATTAAAGAGGCACTTGTAGGGGTCAGACAAATATAACATAACAGTTTATAATGAAATAACCACCCAAATGTCTTTTCTGTGCTCACAGCAGTATCAGTTTTATTCAACCCCCAAGTGACATTCATTAGGGGGTTAGTACTTAGTACAGCATCCTTTTACAGTTATAACAGCTTTTTTAAACGTGAAAGCATAGCTTGACACAAGTGTCTTGCAGCGATTCTAGGGTATCTTCGCCCATTCTTCATGGGCAAAGGCCTCCAGTTTCAGTCACATTCTTAGGCTTGCGCACTGCAACTGCTTTCTTTAAGTCCCACCAGAGGTTCTCAATCGGATTTAAGTCTGGTGGACTGCGATGGCCACTCCCAAAATGTTCCAGACTTTCCTCTGCAACCATGCTCTAGTGGGATTGGAGGTATGCTTGGGATCAATGTCCTGTTGAAAGGTCCAAGTCTCCCATGCCTCAGGTGTGTGACGGGACTGCATCCACGTTTCCATCCAATATCTCTGGGTACTGAAGAGAATTCCATGGTTACCTTGCACACGCTGAAGCTTCCCTGTTACCTGCAGAAGCAAAACAGCCCCAAAGCATGATTGACCCTCCACCATGCTTCACAGTAGGCAAGGTGTTCTTTTCATCATAGGCCTTGTTCTTCCTCCTCCAAACATAGCGTTGAATCCATGGGCCCAAACAGTTCCTAATTTTGTTTCATCAGTCCACAGAACAAACTATCCACACAACTTTTGTGGTTTGTCCACATGGCTTTTGGCATACTGCAGTCGACTACTTTCTTATTCTTTGGAGACAGCAAAGGGGGTACGCCTGGGGGGAGTTCTGGCACGGAGGCCGTCATTACGCAGTGTGCGTCTTATTGTATGGGCTGAAACTTCTGTACCCACATCTGACAAATCTTTTCTCAGTTCCTCAGCAGTCACACGGGGACTTCTCTCCACTCTACGCTTCAGGTAACGCGCACAGCAGTCGAAGTCAGCATCTTCTTTCTGCCATCGGACCAGGGTAGCGTTTCAACAGTGCCCTTTGCCTTGAATTTGCGAATGATGCTTCCTAAGGTGTCTCTTGGTGATTATGTTTAACATCTTTGCAATCTTCTTATAGCCATTGCCCTTCCTGTGAAGAGAAATCACCTCTTCTCTTGACTTCTGGACCATTCTCTTGCGCTTATCCACATGTGTTTGTAACCTCACCAGTAAATGTCTAGAAGGAGCTGAGTATCACAGGTCATTTTTAAAGCTGCCTAATTGGTGCTTATTATGCTTGATTGTGCGCTCGGTGACATCCACAGGTGTTTTCAATACTGATGGAAAGCACCTGTATGAACCTCTGTTCTTCAGAGTGGTAGTTCTTTAAGGGGTTGAATAATTGTGGCAATGAAGAAACCACATAAGAACCATTTTACTACTGTATTTACATAAACAATTGATGTCATTTTAGTTGCATTGGGGGTAGTTACAACGTCTTGTAGGATTTGATTCTGAATACAATTCCAAATGTACCACTATAGTCCCTAAACCCCTTTACAGCAATTGGGGGTTGAATAATTTTGGACACAACTGTATATGAATTGACTAGGAGAACTAGATGAACCTGGAAAGCCAAAGGCAGAAGCTGCTTGGAAGAGGTGTAAGGGGTTTCTCAGTGGAGTATAGAAATGAAAACATCAGTACTGTCTTGCCTGGTCCAAAACCTCTAATACCTCTACAGTGGTGTGAAATTGGGGACCCCCCCCACCCCCCCCCCCCCCTATATTCCAAGGGACAACAGGGACCCGCCCCAAAACAGGTCGGGCCGTCGAGAGTAAGATGAAGAGGTAAGCCTGCAAAAGGGGGTGGAGCTAAAACACATGCTAGTATAATTAAAAATACATGCTCCCACAGTAGAAAAGTCCCACGAACCAGATCCCTGAGAGGCAAAGGGGGAGTTAACGACAAATCAAACAGGAGAAATATACAGTGCAGACTAATCTAGCTTGGCAGTGGAAAACAACAAATCTGAGTGAAGGTAAAGAAATGTTAATATGGACTGTGAGTTGGATATAGGAGCCCGGGAACAACTAGAAGTGGTAGCTCAGTTACCGACAAAAATGGGAATTGCTGACATGTTTGCAAAAAGTAGAACAATCGTTAAAATATGATATGACAAATAATACAAATTACCCCAAGTATTGTCCTGAGTAGAAGAAACAGAAAGCAAGAAAGGAGTTCTGGTGAGAAATAGAAATGCAAGTCCTGGAAATCCCAAAAACTGGACTTATGGGATAAGGGAACTGGGGATAGAAAACGAGAAGTGGGCAAGTAAACCCAAGAAGAAGAGGGAAACAGGAGAAGAATTGGAAAGAAAAAAAAAGAGTAAGGCGTAAAAACAAACCAGTTTTTGTGTGAGACTTTAAAATAAAGGACCGTAGCCTCCCTAGCAATTATGTCAGTATTTCTGTGCTCAAAGCATAAAATTTTATGGAAATATGTCTTTTTTTTTTTTTTTTTTTTTTATTGTAGGCCTGTAATTTTTAGGAATCGCTCACTGAAATCTGTGCCGACAGCGTATAGGACGTAGTAAACATCCCAGGTATGATAAAAATTTGAAATGCGAAATCATAAATTATAATTTAATAAATAATCATAAAAATAATATAAATTTAATTCAATAATATATAAAACCAAAACACTGAAATTTGAAAATAGAGCGCAAAGTTTGCACATCACTGATCTTAGTCGCAAAATCGTTTTCCAGTGTTGATGAATTTCCCCACTAATCATCACTCAATTCTGCAAGTGGTTCTAATTTACTATCGCTGTTCTCTAGCCGGTCTAAAACCACTTTTGACCTAAAGGGACGCTTTTTGGATGCCATGGACTTTTCTCAGTTTCCAGGCAGAACAGTAAAAAGTGCAGGCAGGGGACAGGACAAAGCACTAGGGATAAAATGTATAGTGAAATGGTTTGATGTTTTACTATGTGATTTTAGTGTATTTGAGTGTCACTTTTTAACATTTTTAAATTTCCCGCCGGTTCCGTCCCCGTACGTCCCGATGTAGCAGGGAATGGAAGACGGATGCCGGCATCGGCTGGAGGAGATGGGACGGGGGGACGCTGCAGGGGGGACATCGTGGGATGATGTGTAGGACAAGGTCAGTGCAGAAGGGATCCCGGCGCAACGTTTGCAGGGTATTCCCTGTGTAAAATAAAACTTATTATATAAAATCTATATACTAAATCGAGCGCAGTGTTTAGGTGTAAGTACGGTAGCTGCTTGCACAAAAAGGCACCTCGGGGAACCTCCAAAAGTAATTGATAAAGAATGAGAGTGCAGCGCTAACCCAAATAGCGATTAAACATATGATAGACCACATATGATAGTGGATCAGTAAAATGTCAGTGTAAGTTCATCAGATGTGCTGAAAATGCATACAGTCTCCAATATGTAAAGTAAATGAACTTACTAACAACGGTTCAGCTGCTCATTAAACGGCCAGACCGGAGGTAACATGTACACAGGATATAAATAGCTTGGCACTTCCCTAACGCGTTCATTGTGTAAGTACACATCATCAGAGGGGTCCTGGGGCTGTGCCTAGCAAAGGAACACATCTGCAAGTGACATCCCTGGATCCATGAAGCAGCTCCTCCTGGAACCGATGACATTCTAGTGGTCACCCTATAGATGACACCCGCCTGATCCTCTAATACAGTGGCTGGATACAGCTTCCATCCTGGACAGATGACATCTAGAGGGAAGTGCCAAGCTATTTATATCCTGTGTACATGTACCTCTGGTCTGGCCGTTTATGAGCAGCTGAACCGTTGTTAGTAAGTTCTTTTCTGATTATTTACCTACTTTAATAAACGGATATGCACACTATTTGAGGCCTTTTTCCACGGCTCTTTATTTCTGGGAGCCTGTATTCTGAAGGTCCTGGGGCTGTGCTTAGCAAAGGACACATCTGCAAGTGACATCCCTGGATCCATGACACAGCTCCTCCTGGAACGGATGACATCTAGTGGTCGCCTATAGATGACATCCGCCTGATCCTCTAATACCAGTGGGCTGGACTCAGCTTCCATCCGGATAGATGACATCTAGTGGTCACCTATAGATGACATCTCCTGGCGTTCCAGTGATACAGTGGCTGAGCACCAGGGGCAGGTCTTAAATGCTCCATGCGCTTTAATATGCGCTATCTGGTTAGTGGCATTATTTGGCTATTATCATTTCTGAAAGTCACTACTTTTGGTTCTTTACATATTGGGGAGACTGTATGCATTTTCAGCACATCTGATGAACTTACACTGACATTTTACTGATCCACTATCATATTCCCTAGTGTAGCTTGGGGTTACCGATTGTGGTGCTGAAAACTTTAACTCGCGCTACATTCGGGAATACCTCCAGGGAGGTTAATAGGGGCAAGAGAAGAAGAGATGGTCTGGGTAGAGTCAGTGCCGCTTCTGACTCCTTTTCTTAGATTGTTCCCTGCCCCCTTCCCCCCCCCCCCCCCATTCCATTTTTCCTTTTTTCGTTTCCTTCATTGGGGGGAGTGCGGAGGGAATGGTTATGAGTTGGTAAAGGAAAAGGTTTACTGAAGGCAGGATAAATGAGGGCACAATATGGTCTTAGAACTTACATATCCTCAGGGAAGCGTTGGATGTAGGTGAGGAGGTGTTTATGGACAGAGTTCAACCCCAAATAGGATCAAGGGTGGGGTTAGATCCACAACAGATCAATGGGGAGGAGGAAGGGGAGGTGGGAGTAGAGATGAGCGAAGTATTCAAAAATTCGGATTCGGCTGATGCGGCGAATTCGCAGAATAAATTCGATTCGAGGCGAATTATATTCACTGCGAATTTAACTTATAAAAAGGGTTGTTTCTAGGCTTCAGAGAGCCTTTATATTAGTGCAGAACACTGTACCTTTAATTTAAAATGCCCTTGGAGTCTGATGGAGGAAGAGAGAAATTAATACTGTCAGTCAGTATGACATGCAGATGATGTGCGTCGATCTTAGATTCACCGCACACTTCACTCGTTTGGGCAGTCACGGGGCCAAAACCAGGACCCCTGACCACTTGGACCTGGCAGCGATGAGGGGGCGGTACAGGGGCCCTGACAGATTACGGGGGTGGCACAGCATGAGGAGTCGGTACGGGGGCCCATGGCAGATTACGGGGCCTGGCAGCGCAGGGGGGGCCCCTTCAGCCCCCCTTATGAAAAATGAAAACCCCCCAGCAGTGTGGGAGACCTGAAAAAAGGCCCATGGCAGGTGGGCGAGGGGGCAGCAGAATAAGAGGCCGTACAGGGCCCATGACACCTCTGGACCCGGCGCAGATGAGGAGGCGGTAAAGGGGCCCTGAAGATTAGGGCCCCGGGGGCGATGAGGGTCGGTAGGGGGGGCCATGGAGATTCGGGCCTGGCAGCAGCAAAAGGGAGGCCATACAGCACCTATGACAAAATGGAACCACCCGCAGTGTGGGGGCCCCGAAAGTGGCAATGGCAGAGTGTGGCGAGGAGACAGCGAATGGGGGGGCCCTACAGGGACCCATGCCACTCCCGGAC